AAAATTAATATACCCTTGTGCACAAGTGCGCTCGGGTATAAAAATTCAGCAAAACCAATTCACCCTCCAGAGGAAGTTACGTATACGCACCGTACATCTTTAACTGTACTTGCGCTAAATAAGAGAACCGCAGCAAAATTTTCTCAACACTCTCGCTGCATTTTTAAGAGAGCAGCATTCACATTGACAGAGGCATTTCACTTGGCTGGAATGTTTGAAAATTTGCCGCTATTATAAAAACCAAAGCACAAATGGCCAAAGCGAGCAGTTGAATGGCGGCAGCAGCGGTGGTAACAGCCGAAAATTTACCGGTAAAAGTAGTGGTAACTGTTGTTTCGAGGAACACACACAAGGTGTGCGCATATGTGGTAGTGAAAGTAAGGATAAACGCATGATTTTTTGTCGTTTTTAAATTTCGTGCAAGAACAAGCGCGCCCTTTGAAGAAGTGAATTTTTGAAGTAATTACCAAAATAAATGTTTTGGTTCACTGATTTCAAACGCCGAAGAATATTTTTATGGGCTAATAAAAATGGAAAAAGGCAAAAAGGGACTTAAAAAAGAAGTTAAAAGCGCAAAAATTGCAAGTAAAAAGTTTTCAACGGAAAATCAAATGAATAAAAAGCCAATCAAAGCACTCAAGCGTGTGACATGTGAATATGTGGAAATGTGTGTGTGCTTTTGCTGTGCGCTAATGCGGCAAATGAAACAACAACAAAGAAAAGACAACACAATAATCAGCAGCAGCAGAAAATAGCAAATAATGAAAATAATAAATATTAAATTTTATATGCACAAATACACATACATTCATACATACATATCCAGCAATATTTCCGATTTTGGTGAATTTGTCGTAAAAATAAATTGCGGTTAAACGCTTGAATGGCTTTGCTTTGGATTTACCTCCAACCAATACTAGTTCGCCGCCATAGCGTGACGCCAAACAATAGCTGACCGACCGGTCGGTCGATTGTGGCGATCGACAGCCACAACGGCGAGCAAATCATACACAACTACATATTTGTATAGATACAACTTAGGAATAAAACAAATAAACATACATACATACAAACAAGCATGTACAAATATTTCTTTAGCACTTACCAGTAGTGTGCGGTCAACTAAGTGTGTATTGCTTGTGTGTATCGCCTTTGTGTTAATGCTCGCTTTTATGTCGGCACTATAGCCAAGCATATGGTACACGCTGGTGCTGAAATGACAAAAAATACTTTTCCAATACAATTTGTGTGCTTCTCTGTGTGCTTGCATGCTCATGAAAAGTTTGCAGTTGATTGAAAATTGTAATTTAGTGCAGAGTAGTGGAAACTGGCAGAGGAAATATGAAAGCAGTGAAAAAAAACACATTAAAAATATTGCGAAATTTTTAAGTGAAATAGTTGCAACCGTGCGAAGTGATGAGTGAATATTTTTCTGGTGAATGCATTTAAATCGAAAAAGGAAATAAATTTTAGACATATAGAAAATTTTGGCAGTTCATACTTTTGTAAAATCGAGAGAATAAGGCAAAAAATGGCTAAATTGAGAATCGTTTAAAAAATTAATTGATCCAAGAAAATCTTGAAACAAATTTGTAAAAAAATTTAGAATTAAAAAAAAGATTATACGAAAATATTTTTTTTTAAATTAAGTGAGAAAAACTAGAAAAATTATCAAAAAATATTAAAAAAGTTTTTATGAAAAAAATAATTTTTCGCGAAAAATTGAAATTTGCCTGAAATGCTCCAATGGAATTAAAAATAATTGCTTATGTACACTACGGAAAATTTGGATATATATATTGAAAAAAATGTTGACTATGAAAGATAGGTGTTCAAAAATATATAAACAAAGTTAAATCAAAGTATTGAAGTTGTTTGCTGGGTGTAGCTCAAATCCATGTTTTTGCTTTCATTTAACACGGCCGAAGCAGCTGGTTCTCTTTAGTTTGCAAAGACAAAACACAGGAATAAAATGTTTGGTATAGAGATTTTTTAAAAGCCTTTTTTTAATTTAAAATTGAACTAAAATTTTTTTCCATATAAATTAACACAAACAAATTGCAAAATAATCGCACTCCCTTTTCAAGCTAAAAATAATATAAATTTTTTAATTTAAAATTGGCATACATACATATATATGCACATAATCTGTATTATTATGAATTGGCAGTAAATTAAATTAAAACTTTTTCTTAAAAAAAAATGTATGGCGAAATTAAAGACTTTCACGTTTGAAAAAAGTTCTTAATTTGCATTTTCTGTAATTACAAATTCTGCGTCTTCGCAATTTTAAATTTTTTAGGTAAAATTTTTATATATTTGTGGCAAAAAAATTTTGTTCCCCAAACAAAACAAAAAATAATTGACTTTTAAAATTCCCACTAATCAATTTTTTAAAACACAAACTTCAATTTTCTTTTATTAAAAAACCTTAATATTCTCCTTTGCACTACCTTAGAAGTAAATAACAAATTTTAAAAAAATTTTAAGCTAATAGAACGTTCTATAAAAAGTTGCAAGATTTTCATATTTCTTAAATTTAAACGAACTAAAAATTGTGATCTAATTTTTTCCAAAAATTGTAATTCTTTTCAGTTTTGAGGAGTAAAATATTCAAAAAAATATGCCCTTTAAACCCAAATATTGTTCTGAATAAATTTATTTGGAAAACATATGAATTTTAAGAGCTACTTGACAAAATGGCACGTAAAAATCTTAATTTTAGATAATTTTGATACATTATTTTTTTTGGAAAATCTTTTTTTCTTACATTTCAACAGCTTTCTATTCCCACCAATTTTTTACGGTGTACTTTTCGTCTGATTTGTCTTGGACACTACATATATATTTATATATTTTTTTAGAAATTTGCCGCAGCTTTGTTGAAAAAATGTATACTGAACTAAGTTTGTTAAGGAAAAATGTTTTATTTTGCAATTTTAATAAGAATAATTTATTTTGTATATTTTTTTTGTGCATCAAAGTTTTAACCTTTTATTTAAAAAGCCCACAAAATTGTAGCTCAAAATATATTTTTCGATTTTTGCAAAAAAAAAAAAAATGTATTTAAAGCATGCAGTGTTTTTAAAAGTATAAAATTTTTTAATGAACTAGAAAAGATACAGAAAACTATTTAAAACTACTCGAGCAACCCTAGTAAGAAGTGCAAAAAAACTTACAAAATGATCACCAAGCAATTTTGATGTCTTCAATCAAAAAAGACAAACCAAGAACAATATCAAAATGTGTGCAAAATTGTAACAAAAATACAAAAATTAGCCAGCAACCCAGCGCCTAAAATCGCACCAATCGGTTGTACAAAACTCACAACTCCACCCGCACCCACGACACCGTCCTAGCCGGCGATGCTTTTGGAGCTCCTCGAATATGCCACAAGACTGCTGAGAAACAATATGACAACAATTATACTCGCAACAACAACGGCAACAGCAACAGCAACAGCGACAAATAACATCACAACAAATTTCAACAACATCTCCATCCCAACCGGCGCCACCCCCGTCGTCACCACTACCCTTACATCACTTCAGACCACACTACGCAACATGCTACCCGAACGTCCTGCCGCAACGACACCAGCACTTGAGACCTTTAATTCTACACTTAAGACGCTTTTTAATAAAACACTCGCCAATGTGGCGCAAGCTAATTTAAGCGATTACACCACACCGTACACGTTGCTGCCGCCCCTCAACAATGTCACTGGCATCAGCACGGGCATTGGCATCGGCATGGAGGGGAGTGCGTTGGACAGTGGTGGTGCAACAACGGTGATGTCGTCTGTTCTACCAACGCTACCTGTGACGCGCTATACCATGGAGGCGACTACATCGTTACCTGCGCAGACAGTGGCCACTTTCATGGCGGCGGGGCATAAAAATCGCGCCACGATAATTGTTTATCCTACAGGTTGGTACATACATACATACATATATATATGCACATAAGTGGTATTGTGTAGAGTTAAGTGCGAAAAGTACTGCCGTTTGCGATTAAATTAGGCGCATGAAAATAGGTTGAACTCCTGCTGAGCCTTGAGTGCATCTAAAAGAGTTCTAGTAAAGAAAGGATTTTGTTGAAAAAGCCGGTTTATGTACATACAGATACAGACTGAAACCCTAAAGTATCCAAGCGCGAATACCTCCTGCACCCCAACTAATGATTTTTAGCTTTTTTCGAATGACATGGAATCCTGGTACTCCTTACAAGACTTTATCCTTTGTGACCTATTTTGATTTCCATCTGATATTTCACACAATTAATCCTCTAGCTATGTGAAAGCATCAGCTATTTTTGGACAGAAAAATCTCTTTACTTGGTACGAACCTAGGTGGTGGGGATTGGGCTGGCTCAGGGTAGTCTGCAGGGCTCCACCTCAGGAACTCAGCTAGAGCCACTCAGCAAATGTTGAGCCAACGCTGGCAACCTTCTGGTTTTTGTGGAAATAAGCGAGTGGCCTCACTAGTCGGAATGTCATATTTGCGGAGTAAGTTTTTAGACTATGTGTGGGCTCCGTTATTGGCCAACAATCCAGAGTAGTAATGCTACTGAACTTTCAGTAGATTGGATGACGAAGTCTGAACCGATGCTTAGTTCCGGTATCACGGTGGGCAGGAGTCCATAGAGCGTGTTCAAACCTGTTCAACTGGCACGACTCTTCAGGGATTAGAAAGGTGGTTGTGGTTTGTGCCAGGTCAATACGGAGTTGTATTTCATCCCTATGTCGATCCAAATTACGGCAGAGGTTTCGAGTAGACCTCGAGCTCTACCAAGGTGGTTGGTATTCACATTTCACAAAGTTGATTCGTACCGATAATGATAATGCAGTCTTTTTGAGCATCGCGAGGTGATGCCTTCCTCGCCTGGGCTCACATAAAACACATCGGACCCTGAGCTGTCTTCCTTAGACAGTGCTAGTATTTGAAGTAGTTAAATTCTAAGGATCTACAGAAAGGGATTGGCTCATAAAGTTAAATATTATTAGAGCTATGAGCTAAATAAAATTCGTTTGTTTCCACTAGACTTTTAGATAGACTTTTCTGACTTAATGTATTCACAACTTAGGGTAAAAAATTAGTATAGCGGTAACAAAGAGCATCGAGCAATGCGTCGATTTCAAACGCATATGTTTGAAGGGAAAAAGGGAGGTCTGGGAAAATCGGCGTCAGCTCCTTCTAAGGAAATTAGATCCCAAAGCACACACACCTTAACCCAAGGGCGAGGTGCGGCACCTGCTTTAAGGCTAAACCGGGAGGATGCTGCTGATAGAACCGTTGGAAAGGTTATGATTTGATTTCACAGCCATAGTGACTGAGGGAATTAAATACAAATACTAGTCGAGGCGATAGTCGCTCTCTAAGTTTTTTGGTCTGAGACTTCCGAAAAAAAATCCTCCATCTAAACTACTACACCGATTCGGGAATACCTTTAAAAAAAAAACGGTACCTTTTCTTGCATGTAATCGGTGAGAGTCTGTACATCATCCCTGCTAAGATTTAGCAACTACACATAAAGTGCCATAGAGTAAGTTTTAGATAAATAGAGTTTTAGATACAAAGGATCTGTCGTGCTTCACATTAAGCAAGTAGGTCGGCTCTTTCATTGGTACCAAAGCTTCTGGTAACCCCTTCTCGGATAAACGAGGTTTATTAAAAAAACATACCTAGCACATCGGGTCGGTCTTGCCAATCTTTGGCAAAAAATCTCTCTGGAGTAAAGTCTGTGACAAAGCCAGGGTCTAGCTCCACCCTGATCCAACCGGGTCAAGTCTGCACGGCAGCAGGGGAAGCCTATCATACAGTCATCAATACCAGCCATGCCCTTAGGCATGATGGTGGTGATGCCTCCATAGCCTCTGGATGTGGGCAGACTGGCATCTTTGACACTGTCTCAAGATAAGTCAAGGATGCCAACTTCTCCACCTCTAGTGGTAGACTCGACGCTAGGGCAAATCTTGCTAGTCTACCTTCGGGAAGCTCTGCCGGCCATGTCCAAAAACAAACCAGTTGCGCTGTCACCTCCCCAGCTGTGGTTTCTCCTAAAAGGGGAATATCGGCTTCAAATACTGTGGAATCAGTTTACATGCCCAACTCAGTGAATCCCGACGTCAACCCTTCTGGTTGCACGCTAAAACTTCCTGCCAAAGCAATTGGTGCCTCTGAAAGGAACTATCGTCCAAAATGATCAGCTCTGCGTATCATATATATATTACATATAGGCTGAAAGATGCCAAACAAGAGGACTTGACCGAAGAGCAAATTAGCTCTAAAGCTTGGACAGAACCTTCCCCGGAGAATCACCAAGAGAAAGCCAAAGCTGACCTTCGAAAGCGGAAGTGCTCGTAGGAGGACAAAACGTCCGCGGGGAAGAAAAGAAAAGGCCTTCCAATACCCAAATGGAAGCAAACAGGGAGACTAAAAAATCCTTTGCCGATGTGTAAAGCCTGAAACACTATGCATATGTATTTTTCACGTCCGAAGGCGCTCCAATTTTCTTAGTCCTTAAGTTCTTAGACTTTCTGACGAATATCTTTCGATTGCGCTCAGCTAAAGGCTAAGCTGAACTGGGCTGAACTGGGCTGATATAAGTGTGTTAAGCATACATAAAGACTGAACTGCAAGTAGTTCTGAAGGGTATCAGCTGGTTTTGGGTATATAAACTTTTTGGTGTCTTCTTACTTAACCGCTTCCACTACAAAAAACTACAAGCGCAAGTAAAAAAAAATCAATTCCACGCGGCGGGTTACAAATTAGCATATATCGACAACAACAAAATTGTCAAACAGATGCAAATACTTTGCAACAGGGCGGAGTAAGTAAGCAAGCTTACGTCAGCCGTCAGCCGTCAGCCAAACGTATAGTTAGATATATATATATATATGTATGTAACTAGGTAGTCAAGTAAGAAGTTAACGAACTCTTTAGCAGCGAAACTTTCTTAACACTTCCTCTTCACAAACTCAGCCTCTTTCCTATAAACGCCACCAAGCGCCAAGTTGTTGTGTGAAAAGTGTTGGATTATGTAGTGTTGAAGCAGCCCATTTGAGCTTAGTAAACTTTTTATTCGGTTTTTTTTTGTTTTTGTTTTTGTTGTTTCTTATACGAAAAGTTTTACCTTACGAGAAGCGAATCTTAATGCGCGCCCGCACATGTTTTGCTGCCGAAAAGTTGTGTGCGCTTCGTGCGAAAGTATTTGTGTGCAGCATGAGTATGTGTTTACGTGTTAGTCCTATCAAAATAAATAGCAAAGCTTTGCTTCTTGCAAGTATACCTGCTGCTGTTGGCTGACGCGCTAACTGCCTTACTGCCTGGCTGCTGGCGGAAGCATTGCATGTCCTGGCTTTACTTGACTTGGCTTAACTTACACTCTTCCTTGTTTTTGTTATTTTAGTTTGCTTGAGTGAGATTTATTTAAGCAGATGACACGCGTTTTCATTTTGTACCTAAACAACTAAGCAAGGCAAGCAACTTTGCTCATTAAAGATTTTCTCAGCGCACTAAATTGATATAATAAAAAAGAAAAATTGTTTAAGTTTCTTGCTCATATGAGACGAACCGAGCGGAGCGGGCAGCGATATGCTGTTTCCGAGTTGGAGCAGGGGGGTGGGAAGCACATCTGGCGTAGATATGCGACCAGTTGGAAAATCGCACAATTCAGGCGGAAAAGCGATTTGAGGTCTGACATGACTTTGGTAGGGAGTTGGGGAGGGCGTATGGATAATAATGACTTGAAAATGATAAATGTATTTACTTAATACGCATTTGTGGTCTTATCTTTTATGAGTTGAATGATTGATGTACGAAATTAAGCTATGAAATCATACGTTTGCTACTTTTCGTTCGGACTGATGAAAGTTGAACCAGACTGTCTAAAAAGTTATCTCAAATTGGCTGAATGTATGCATATACCGAAATTAATTTTGACTGATTTTTATTAGTTAATAACGAATAATGAATCTGTGGTTTTGATCGTTTCATGTTATTGATTACCCCCTTAAAGCTTTCACAGGCTTGAAATGATGTGATTTACCCTTTACTTTGTCTTTAAGGACTATGGGTACCCAGACCCATAATAATAAAGTCCACTTTATCATTAAGAGGCTTTCGTTAAACAGAATGGCCTTCAAAAACGTTTGCGTTTCATCAAATTTCATGATCATAGGTACTTTGGTTGTCGACATATTTACATTTTTATTGCTCGTTGGTATGTTTGTACCAGCTCTTTGTACATAAGGGTTAATAACATAAGAATTTTTACTAGAAAAACTCGCTTAATTGGGCACCAACAAAGGCGAATTCATATAAGGTGGTGTTGCTGGAACAGCTGCTTTAATTCGCCTCGGTACACATATGTCAAAACTCCTTATGAGTGAGTGCGAAAGTAAGCGTGTAGGCATTTTATTTCCCTCTTCCTCCTTGAGCCGATTAAAGCTGAAATTTGACATTTGCGTGGCACCAACATACTTTTTTTTTCTTTCCAATACCTTTTGGAGCGCATTATCGCTTTTCACCAATTTTTTCACTAACATTGCCATAAATCTTCTCATTCTTAATTTCAATATACATATGCATATACATATTTATGTACATACGTACCAACGTATGATTGTGTATGTCAGCCAGTGGCGGATTTGAATATTTGCCACCCCTATGCAATTCAAAATTTGACGCCCTTTTTCCGGAAAGAAAAATATTTTGAAGTAAAAGTACCAGTTTTGGAACGATTAGCAGTAAATAGTAATATCCAAACTTATGTTATTTACTATATTTTTTTACAATTTAGATGAAAAAGTGGTATTTGCCTTGAGTAAAGATTTTCAGCTTTTAAAGAATGCCATCATCAAAAAAGTGTTTTCACTTGATAAGTTACAATCTCCAAAAAACTAAATTAGTATTTTAAAATAGTATCAT